CTTTTCATGCTATTAATAATTTTGTTATTTCCTTGAATAGGGTGTCATTTTTCGGCTTTGGGCCTTAAAAAGGGTATCAGTTTTCGCTTTCTTTTGGCCTTAAATAGGGTTAGTGTTCACGAACCTTTGCGGCACACCCCTATCCAAAATTCGGGGGAGTACCCCCCCCCCCCGGGCTGTAACTCAACAGAAACAAGAAACCAACACCACCAAGTCGCCCGGCTGGGCCACCTAGACAATATTTTCAGTCGCCCGAGGCCAAGTCTTGCGCCGTATTAAGAGCACGGCCTTGAGTCTTCGTCCTCCTCTACACAGTGAGCTTACTTTTCCCTCCTTGGCTGACGCAGTATGTTTTATCGGCTTGTGCAATCCAGCCTGACTTGCACGTGCTTCGACGTTGGGGCCAATAAAAATCCACACAATTTTTCGGGACGGGCACGGGATACGGGAAAGTTAAAAAAACAAAGCAATTTTTGACTCCCAAGACGACGAAAGGAATGCGCTACCGAATTTTAGACGCTGGCTGACTACGTCATCCCGCGTAATCAGCGTACCTTGTGAATGTAATTTGTCACCCATAATATTAATATTTAAAGACTCGGGCAATCTGGACAAAACGCGCATGACCAGAAATGTCGCTAAAAAATTTGATCTTACCGCTTCCATGTAGCCGCAATAACTGAAATTATTCCCTTATTTGACTCATTACCATTTGATTGACCATACATTTAATTTCTGTGTTACTCCCGCCTTCTGTGTAATCTTTTTAAAAAAATTATAAAAAAATTCCAAAGGGTAAAGGCGACTGCTAGGCACATATACTGCACCCAAACCCAGTCTCGTTTTACAGAAAGCTGCAAATGCCCCATGGTGAGGCCAACAGCCTCATATACAAGTTACACCGTGGTCTTTAAAAGTGTGTGATAAAGCCTTTTACCTGCACCCAGACAGGCAATAATAAAAATAATGAACATGACCAAATAATCTGAGAAATCAGCAAAATTTTGTAAAATAAAACAAACTAAAAACATGCAGCCTTGGTGTTTTCCCGATATTCCAGGAAGTCAAGCCGTCCTTCCTTGGCGAATCACTACTAGTATAACGTGAGCCTAAGACGACAGCACACGAAAATAAACTACTTTTCCCTTAAGCCTTTCCTTTAAAGAGCACTTTACAACAAAAGATAAAACTTCACAAGAAATCTTTGCAGTAAGTGAGAATTTCTCGTCAAATTCATGCAAATTGATCATTTCCGTTTTTTCTCACTATATCTTTATGCCATGAACGAGAAGTGTTGCTAAAAGGACATATTGATTTTTTGTCATTCTTAAGTTTGTCCAAAATTTTAAAGATATCCATATGAAGCATGTCATCACAACTTTCAACATAAAAAGGTGAAACCTCTGCTATTTCTGCAAAACAAAACACTAGTTGAAAATTTGTCCACTACTTGAACTAAGGGACTGGTCAAAAAGTATAGGGGGGTGGTCCGGAGCAGAGAAGGAGTGGGTCATGAGGTTTTGAGCCTTGTGCTGCAATTTTCAGCTACTCTTAGGGGGTGGGTCACCCTATTTTATTACATAGATAGGCACTAACTACTAACGAGACAGTTGACTACACTTGTTATATAAAACACAGCCAGCTGGAATTATTGCTAAAATACTCACAAACCTGTTGTGCGAGAAAATACAAAGGGTGACAGGCCGCACATCTATACGGGCGTGGAACCCTCTATTAACCTTTTTTTTTGGCTCTAACGAGCATGTCCTTTAATGATTTTCCTTTTTGTAAGGAAATGATTGGTGGTTCTTTAAAAATTTATTGAAGTTGTAGTTGGTTTTGTATAAGATTCCATTTTTTCATTCAGGCTTCCTTTATAATAGACACTGAGGGCTGGTATTGTGTCACGAATGGCAATATTTCTTTTTCCTCCTTGTTGTTTTGTTTTAGGAGTTTAGACTCCCTTTTGTGACTTTCATTCTGATAGTAGGTTTTCTATCAAAGATTGTGGGTGGCCTCCGTCCATCAAGCGTTTTTTTTTTAGTTTGAATTATTTTCCTCAAAGGTTGTTTCTGAGGAGTTTTTTTTTTCGTAGAATTTTCAAGGCTTCTCCTTTGACAGATCTTTTTTTTAACATTTGGAGGGTGACACGAGGTCAAATGTGTGCGCAAGAAGGTTTTCGTTTGTTTAAAATGTGTCTTTTGCATCAAGGATAGATTTTTCCTTGAATCTTGTGCCTTTGTATACAACCGTGTCTAAAAATGCAGTCTCAGTGTCAAATGTTTCGGCTGTGAATTCAATAGTTGGGTGATGTAAGTTTGCTTGTTCAATGAAGGCTTCGATGTCTGGTTTACTCACGTCCCATAGGGAAAAGATATCGTGTATGTAGCATTTCGAAACTGTTGTTTTAAAGACAGTTTTGCTTAGAGTTGTTCTTTCAATATATATCACGAAAATATTGGCAAAGGAATCAAAACTGCTGTCTTTGTGCCCATTGCAGTTCCATGGTTTTGTAGGTAGTGCTTTCCATTGAAGTGGAAGAAATTATATTTTCTTTGAAGATTGATCTAAGCATTTCCGGCCAGTAATGTGTAGGAATGGGTTGTCTTTGTGGAAATTTTCATATCCTTTGTGACAGACAATTTCAATATACCCTCGTTTTGCTGTATATTTGTGTCAAGACTCATAACGTCCATCGAAACAAGAAATGTTCCGTTTTTCACATTTGTCTTTTCAGTGAAAGGTATTATTTCTGTGATTTTGATATGGTTGTAGCAGTGTACCAACAAATTTTGTCAAGCACAAAACAAGGTTTTATTGGATTATTAAGAGGAAACCAAACATCCATGTTTTAACTAGGGGGTGGGTCATGCAATTTCCAACCTTGCTTTAGGGGTAGGTCAGTCATTTTTGCGCCGAAGGGAGGGGGTGGGCCATGTGTTTTTTATCAACCACATTTCCAAATGCTCCGGCTCACCCCCACCATACTTTTTGACCAGTCCCTAAATATAGCTGTCTTGCCTATTCTCTATGTTAAAACATATTGAGGACTTCAATGGGATTTGGGCTGCAAATGAAATACTACAAATATTATATCAGATTAAAAGCAAAAATAAGGCCAACCTTCTCCTTCTGATTCAACAGCAGTAGCATTTGAGTTGGACACACATGACAGTTTAGCACTAGGTGGACCCACACCAGACAATATCTCGCCATCACGGTGCACATTTACTTTACGAGCGTTTGGAATTCTCAATGGTGGATTCCAGCCATCACTTGAATGCTGAATGAGATTTCTGATATCTTTTCCCACTGGAGTTCTGAAGGCTTGGGTAGACAGCTTAGAGGATATCACAACATCCCCTAACCTCGCTGTGCATGGACTCTCGCAGCAGCCAACAGAGTAGACAACTTTAGGTTGCAGTTGCATCACTGCATTTTTGGTGACCATTTGGGAGCCACCTGGACCAAAAGAACCTTCACAACATTTCATCAAAGCAACCTTCAGTGGTTCGCTCTCACTTTCACCCATGTTTCCAAAGTAAACATATCCAAGGTCTTTGCGATAACTTTTAAAGGCATTTTTCATGAAAGCGTAACATCCCAAGAACTCACAGTCCGCCACCGTCAACAAAAGAATGTCAACTGGGAGCCAATCATCACTCGGCCAAGGCTCGGACTTGTTAGGAAGGTCACACATCTTGGGCACTTCAATAGAAAGAGGAGGTGGAGTGCTATGTTTTTCCAGCTGTTCAAGAACATCTCCCTTTCTTTTAAGCTCCTGGTGTTGGGCCATCAATCCTTCTTTTTAATTTCCTAAAAAGACGGTAAAAGAAATTAGGGACGTAATTTGCGGTAAGCTTACTATGTAGGGTATTAAATATAGGAGATACAAAATATGGAAATGATAATCTCATTTTGGGGGGACATCCGCGCTTTACTTTTAAGAATTTTGTTTAGCGACTTAAGCACACTTTGCGCCACGATAAGAAATTTGGGAAAACTAATGGGTTCAAGCAAAACACAAACAACTGAATATAAATGATAGGAGGAATATAAGACACTAATTCGCTCAGGGTTATATAATAGCTGATAGTGCTCTACAGGGTGTCCCAAGAGTTCGTTCCTCTATGAATTTCATGAGCTACAACTTTTGATGAGAACTTTATTTTTACATGAAATTTCGAAAAGATGTTTATTGCTCTATCGGAAACATGTATTCAGAAGTTCAGTAACCGGCATACCCCCTTTGTTGTTGTTGTTTTTTTTCACACTCTGTAGTAGTTGCGGTATTGAGTGGGATAAGTCATGTAGCATGTGGAGCCCCAGATGATTCATTTTAAGCTTTTTTATCGCCTGGTATGCAGAAGCCACTTGGACTCCCAAACAATATAATTTTTTACATTAGGCAGCTGAAAAAAAATATTTGGGGCATTGATCCAAGAAAAGATAATCATCCCGGCCCTTTTCCACAGTAAGGCTTTTGTACTTCTTTACAAATTTGAGACAAGCTGAACGTTGCTTGGCGGACTAGGTTCTGGGTTTTTTTGTCAACTCAGGGGTCTCCAAACTTTACTTTTCATGAACCCCGCGCCACACTTGCTAACTGTTGTGATAGCTACCTCGTCGGGTTTCCTCTTTTGTACCTAGCCTTCTCTAAAACTATTTTAGCGGTTTTATTCAGGACTTGCGGTCTTCCCGCCTTGTTTCTTGTCTTTAAAACCTCCATTTCTCTATGACAATCTTACCACCCAACATTCGGAGTTTTCCATTTTTTCTAGTAATTTCTTTAACTGATAAGCCAGTAGGTCGAAGTATACATGTTTCTGCTCTTAGGCAGCTGAGTGTTTTCGGGCTACAAAACAAGAAAAATATATGGCGGGAAAATTTACTCGCGCAGCGCACCTTTGACGCGAAAGCACACAAATCGAATAGTCGAGTCAAAAGATAACACAACAAACAGAGGATATTACGTGGCCGCGCGGGGATATGAATGTTACCTTCTCGTGCTGAAAGACAAGAGGCCATGTAATGTTCTGGAAAAATCTTGGTATTTTATCAGTATCTATATAATAAGTATGAACTAATAAATTAGATTGAAAGACAAAACTTTTGTTTAAACTATTTGCTTATCAAGTCCAATCTTACTGCGTTACAGACTTATAAAGTAGAGGGACGAATTTTTGGGACACCCTGTATTCTATACCCTAAAAGGGAGTGAATCTATGTGTTTTAAAAATTGACACCTGACATGACTACAGTTTCGAAAGGAGCGAGTCTTTATAAAAAGCAAAACAGAAGGGTGCTGTAAGAAAGGACACGAGGAAAATGAATATGATTATTCATGTTCGCCTAATGCACACTGAGCGTACGACAACTAAAGCAAGACTGAAGAAATGTGGAATGTTTATTCACTTGTGAAAATGTTAATGTGCGAACGAGAACACACTTTTCTTAGTAAATCAGTTGGGAGTGAAAGAGGTCTTGATGGTACATTTGTTCCCCATAACACGTATCCCTTACCTGGCCTACTAAGTCGAAGAGAAAAGATCAGTGATGACAAAGAAGTCAACCACTCCTGAATTCGAATCGCGCGCTGACGCCGCCATCGCTTGTCTAGAAGACTTTTAAAAAAACGTGCTCGCAGGTATTCTGTAACAGCAGTTTAAAGGAGGCAGCCAATGTACTAAAAAGTATTTTGATATGGTGTTTAGCAGCCCTTATCATAAAACCTCTTTTCTGTAAACCAGGTAAAATATGCTTAGACATCAAAATCCTTGTTTTGCTCACCTTCTCCACGCAATAAACTTTTCGTCGTTATCTGATGAATCATTCAGCCTTAAAGGTGATTGTGATGAAAAACAATGCACCAGCGACTACTTAGATCAGTGTAGGGTTTGTGTTCCTCTGAAGGTTTCTCCTGAAACAAACAATGTTCGTGTTAGACAAGCGATACAGGCACGCGAAATCACTAAATATTGTTTAATACCTGTGCAAACTGAGTACTGTTGTCGACTGAAAAACAAGGACTAAATGATCACATCCACATGCATCAACCAGGGCGAGGGCTTTGGTCTCTTTTGTTAGTGCCAATTTTTTCCTCAGACGAAATTGCTATCTTTGAACATGATGAAAAGATTTCGTAGAAAGTTCTCGAAAGATCACTGTTGCGGAGCGGTCAATCAAACGCGACTAGGCGTAGCTTGCAATGTCGAAAGTAAAAGCATTGGTAGTCCATGTAAAGATCGCGAGATGAACCCAACGTCACCAAATATTATGAATTGTAAATGTATGTGAATTATACCATTTAATTAGTGGAAGAACTCGTAAATAATTTGATGGATTCACACGAGTCGCTTAATCGCTTATCAGTGACTTCATAATTCAGCTTAAGGTCTTTTGTGATGGAAATCAATTCACCCCCAGGCAGACCAGTGGGGGCTTGTGTTTCTCAGTTGCTTTCGCTGAAACAAACAACTATCAGTGGCAATGTTCAATTTCAATGTTCTTGTTAGAGATCAGATAAACAGTCTAGACAAATCATTGCTAGCCTACGTGTAGCCGCACTCCGTCCCCCCGCCTTTCAAAGAAAAAACAAAGAGAGAGAGCTACCTGTGAAAGCTGAGTCCTGTTTTCATAGAAAAAGCTGTAAATGAACGAATCCACGTGGAGCAACAAAGCCGTGGGCTTCGACCGTTTCGTTTGCGCCATTTTTATTCAGCCTCTGATGAGAAAAGGGCGTCAAATGAGGGAGAAATCACGTGTTCTTACGAGACATCAATCAAAAGTAAAACATGAAATAGAAATCCGGATTTCAGATTTGCAACAAAACGCAAAATCTAAAAACGAATTTGAGCCCTGACAAATATTCATCACGAGTATAAAAAAATTTTAAATAAACCTAACTACCCTAAACAATATGGAAAACTGTCTACAACTAACCTAACTAAGACCTGTTTCTCATGAATGCCGTGTACACGGTACTTTAAATATCAGAAATTTAGATGAGCCAATCGTTTAAATTGACGTAAAGATTTAGCCTCTCTCATATCACAGGGCAGACTGTTCCAGAGAACTGCTCCGCTATAACTGAAGCTGTTCTTCATGAAGTTAGTTCGCGGGAATGGAACAATTACTTTGTTGACAGAGTCTCTTAGGGAGTATCACGTTTCATATCGTTTAACAAATTTAGAGGATAAATATCCTGGAACAAGATCATTTAAAGACTTGTAAACCATTAGAGCTTTTTGCATTTTAAAGTGAGTGTTCAAGTCTTTCCAATTTAGTTGTCTAAATAAGCGATTGGCATCTAGAAAAGGTTAGAACACGAGCAGCACGGTTCTGAAGCTTATGTAGCCTGTCAAACAAAGTTTTTCCACAATTACCCCAGACAATATTACAATAATCGAATTGAGATTGAATGAGAGTGTCGTATATACAGTGGAGAGTAGGCGTTGGAACAAAATCTCTAATTCTTTTAATTGCTCCTATCCCGGAAGCGATCTTTTTAGATAATTTATCGATGTGCGTTTGCCACCGTAGATTTTCATCAATAAATATTCCAAGCGATTTTACAGAGGTAACTTTTTCTATCGGAAGATTATCAATCGAGAGCTCGGGTTGGCTCGACAAAGTACTCAATTTTTGTCTTGATCCAATTAGCATAAATTCAGTTTTAGCAGTGTTCAAAGTAAGTTTGTTGGAAATAAGCCATTTGTTTAGATTACCTAAATCGTGATTCAAATTTAACTGTATTGAATTCACATCAACATCTGCATAAGTGATGTGTGTGTCATCAGCATACATCCTAGGCTGGCACGAAGTTAGGCAGTTTGGCAAATCGTTGATGTAAATAAGAAATAAAAGGGGACCAAGAATTGTTCCCTGAGGTACCCCGCATTTAAGTGAACAGATTCTAGAAAGGGAACCATTAACGAGACATCGTTGTGTACGATTTGTCAAATACGATCTAAACCAATCGAGAGCAATTCCTTGTATTCCGTAAAGGTTCATTTTAGATAAAAGGATATCATGATCAACAGTGTCAAATGCCATTTTTAAATAAAAAGACAAGGCATTAACATTACCACGATCGATTTTAAAGACCCAGTTATCAGTAGCTTCAAGGAGAGCAGTTACAGTTGAGTGTAAAGAGCGAAAGCTCGATTGATGTGTAGAAATGATATCTTCATCGCTCAAAAAATTATACAATTGGTCGTAAACAATCCTTTCGAAAACTTTAGCTATAACGGAAATGACTGAAATAGGTCGATAATTATTTAGATCAGATGCTTCAACTTGCTTAAACAACGGAGTAACCCTTGCACATTTCCAGTCGTCAGGAAATATACCAGAGAGCAAAGATTTATTAAAGAGATTACATATATAGGGAAACTGAAATCAGATCGGCACATTCACGTATTATTTTAGCAGAGATATTATCAAGACCAGTTGCTTTGGATCTGCATAATTTTATTTTGTTTAGATGTGAGAAAACAATACTACTGCTTGTAGAACAAAATCTGAACTTGTTGTGATTTACATTTATATTATTGGTATAACTTAATCATTACTATTATCATTTGGTGGAATCTCATTGGCATAACGTATAGTAACGTACTTTGCAAGCAGTTTGACCAAAATGAGCATTTTTCTTCTTTTGAATCTAGTTCGGCTGGAATTAAGATCGGCTTCTCAATCAATTCAACAAGTCTAAATAGTTTGGGTCGGCCTTAACACCTGCCTTAATTCGAATTAGGTTCCGCTCATGAAAAGTTCGGCGTCTGAACCGGGCCTTAGATTCTAAGACTGCCAAGGAGCAAATAATATGTGTTTTGGGTAGAATTTGACACGGGAAACTGGGAAATTGAACTATTAAATAGACAACATGCTCTTCAGAAAGCCTAAATTAGACCCCCAGTCAAACTGAAAGCCTAAAGTAAACACTATGTAAGACGGGGGAAGATGTATATAGTGATGAAAAATTGTACCCGTATGTATGTAGAGTATTCGTTTTCCCTTTAATCTTCCAGGATTATTTGTCATCTGTGTTAACATTCCTCTGATCGCCTTTACATTGTATACTGGGTCCACCAATATTCCAGTTGTTCTTGAGATTTTAATAATATTCCTGCAATTTGATAACAAAATACAATGAGTCAAAATAAAACCACTGCACACCAGTTTTGTAGCGTCACACCAAACGACTCAGTCAATTATTCAGGGTTGTCACTAAGATCTCAAGTTGCCGGGTATTTGTTGTTAGTATCCGGGGAAGTCGCAAGCAGTCATGGAGGGCTAATACTAGTCTTTATAAACGACGCTGAAATGTCAAAACGAGACTCAAGGAGAAGAATGCAAAAGTAATGCTAATGCTTAACTTCCCTTTTATATATAACTTCTTGGAAGTAGAACTGAGAGGATGTGATGATGACCTTCGGACAATGATCGAACATTTCCCGTTGACCGTGCGTTATTTTATATACTCGATACCTAAAGCTAAATGTAGACCTGGTCACTTAAATGTCAATTTATTAAACATAGCAATCAGTCATAGTCTTCATCTTCAAAGCCTTCATCATAATCCTCATTATCATCAACATCAGCATCAGGGAGATTTAACGCTCGGATGAAGCCTCAACTTCTTCAGTGATGTCAACAGAGATCTGCTCAGGTCTTTCATCGCGAACAAAGAGTGCAGATTCCTTTGCCACGTCTTCGACATGTTCAACACAAAGCCGACACAACGGTTGAAACTAGGGACTTTTAGCATCGACAAAGGTGACTATAGTCGCAGCCTTTACGCGCTATAGTTTTAAACACACAAACTTTATTTCAGGACTTTTACAACTGGTGAAGGGAAACAAGCGAACCGAAGCGATGTGAAGTATAGCGGTACTGAAAAATAACAATTAAACAAATACAAAGTCAAGATAAAATAACCTACAAACTGAACGAAAGCAATAAGGCAAACTGGAAATGCGAATAAAACAAACGAGATACTTACAAGACGACAGCGAGATAAGGACGAAATACTAGGACGAGCAAAGACGAAAACATTAAACTGTACACTGGACCAAGCGCAACTAACGAAGAACTGACGCGAAAATTACAATAAAAGCTAAATATACGATATGCCGTTGAACCCTAACACGTAGGACAAAGCTACGCGGACAATGTCAAACTAATGAACCAAAAAACAGCACTAAAGGCGCAAACATGAAAACAACTAAAAACGCGGCGAACATAAATATACTATAAAGGTAACGGAAAACATTCCTGGCACTTACAGTGACGGCAGCGAAAACGTCACTTTTAAAAAGAATTGTCGCATTTATTTCAATTCGCTGAAAATAGCTAATGTAGGCCAATTTCCCTGGAGTTGATTTCTTTGGGACCGCACTCAAGTTTAGAAAGAGAAAGAAAAGTTTGTCGTCCCTTGTTTACGTCCTCCATAAAACGTGAAACTCGCATTTTCACGTCGTAGCCGTGCAGTAACGACAAAGAAATGTGCAAAAATGCGTGATGCACGCACAATGTTCTTGTTTTTCCAATCTAAACCTATTGCTTTTTTGACGTTCTCGTTGCCGTCGCCGTCGTCGTTGCTAAAACTCCCTACTGACATTTCGCGAACGGAGAGTTTTCGCGCGTGCGTACTAGTACCAAATCTAAGTCAGATGTCTTTTACCGCCATTTCTTAGTTTTTGCACGCCAGTATTTCAAAATTACTTAAGCCTGCGGCAGATGAAACTTGCATTTAGTTTGATCGGATAGTCTTTGTGTGTTTCAAAGGTGTGCTCCTTTGGTTTAACTGAACGACGAAAGTAGCCGGGGGCCATGCTCTGAGTAGCCGGGGGAAATTCCCGGCCCCCGGCCCTTCGTACAACCCTGATAATTCAATTGCTATTATACTAGTGACTCAGTCAGTTCTGAGCATGTATTCCCTCCCCCTTCCCCTCAATAGGGAGCTTTAGCATCGATGACGGCAACGGCGGCGAAAACGACAGTTTTAAAATGAATTCCCGTTTTCAATTTTTGTCGCGTTTATTCCAATTTGCTGAAAATGGGAAGTGTAGGCGAATCTCGCTGGAGTTGATTTCTTGAGGATCGCACTCAAGTTTAGAGAGAGAAAAAGAGATTCGTCGTCGCCTGTTACGTCCTCCATAAAACTTGCAATTAGGCATTTTCACGTCGTAGTGGTGCGAGGACGGTAAAGAAATGTACAAAAAGAGTGATGCACGTGCAAAGTTGTTGTTTTGCGTAATAAACCTATTGCTTTTTTGACGTCCTCGTTGCTGTCGCCGTCGTTGCTACAGCTCCCTAATAGCCACTTTGCATCCCTTTTAGCTGTTGTAAATTCACTTTGAATTTTGAATGAATCAATCACAAAACAATAACGTTTTCTCAACTATTTCACAGCCATAAAAACAATCATATGATGTGTATGTCAGCCCTTTTGGGCCTTAGTTACAGACTGAAAATCACAGGTTTCCTCTCTTTCATATACTTGAAATTTCCACCTTTTCATATACCTGAAGCCTAAAAAATGGTACCCCTTTAGGGGGAGCCTCCCCAAATAGGTCATTATTGGGAGTAACCCCCTCCACTGGAAGTTCAGCCAATTAAAACTATCAACCGCATACTCATGAATAATTCCTTAAGAAGCAGTAAATCTCTTTAACCTTTGCACAACATCCACAAAATTAAGCAAATCTTACTGACTGAGCCATGAAGATACAAAATTTCACTTTTCCCAACAAAAGAACAGAAGAAATCAAGCAGGAAGAAACGCAAACATAGCTTATGAATTGCAATAGGGATAGTTTGGATGATTTACATCTGTTTGCTTTTCTTCTTTTTTTTTTCTTTCTGACTGACTAGAAAGTTCCTTAACTACTGCTTAAAGGCCAGTGATTTTTTTGTTTGTTTGTTTGTTGTTGTTTATTTTTTACCAAGTAGTCCACGGAGGACCCCCAAGGAGAAAAGGTTTATTACACTATTATGGCAAAAAAATTAAAACATTTGCTTCAGTCAGTTTTTCTATATATCCTATTTTCATTTTGTACTTTAGAGTAGATTACTTTGCTTTACCAGGAAAACCACTCTGTTAGTGAAAACAGGTCACTGGGAAACATGGAGCAATTTTGCCTTTGAAGGCTACCTGTATATCAACCTTTACAATAAATTATTCCAAAACAGAGGGCAAAAAAAAAGGAATATTGGAAAATTACTTGTGCAGTAATCACAATCCACAGAAAACTGAACTGGTCAGTCTAGAACATTAATTTTGTTACCACATTTTTAGCAAAGTACAAATATCTCTTTTAAGCAAGCAACTGCATGGTTGGTCCTAAATAACTATTATTCAACCCTTTACGCCCCAAAATCCACATACCAATTCTCCAAACTGATCTCTATATAGGTATTTCCTTAAAGAGGAAGTTGAGAGAATTTGATAAAAGATCAAAGCATTTTCTCGCTAGTGATCATTTCATTAACTCTCATAACCTTATCTCTTGACAATTAAGGTATGGATATTGTTAGGAGAAAATTGATCTTGGTCACCATTGCCAGGGGCTTAAAGGGTTAAATGCGAACTGGTGCCTCACTTGAGTTTTGAGCCAGTCAAGTAATTGCCAATTATGGCCATTCCTGATGCTGTTCCTCCACTGCCGACAGTAACTACAATATCATCATAATCTTCCAACACATTCTGAATAAATATGAAAAACATCCAAACAATAAATTAAAACTACTAAGGCCTAACAAATTACAACTACTTAACAAAATAACAAAATAATCTAAAAAATATATAGCCTCCCATGCAGACACTCTTAGGGGTTCGTCACGCATTCCTGCCCCACTAACGTCATTAGTAGAATGCGTGAGAAACCCCAAAGAACATCTGCATGAGAGGCTAAAAAATATATGGACCTGGATTGCATGATCATCCCTTAATTTATATTTCCCTACAAAGAACATGGCACACGTTACTAAGTAGATGCCTTTGGTACTGGCCTCACTAGCACCTTAATAATTTGGGCGTCTGTTAAATGCAGGTACCTTTTACCGAAAAGATGAGAAGTAGCATTTAGCACACTATAAACAACCATGTTTGTTAAATAAAGTGGTGTACATTAACTCCTTCTGCTGAGAGATGATAATTTTATTTTTTCACTTCAAAGCTCCATTTGCTTTGCAATTAACCCTTAAAATTTGCTCCCAAATTAATCTCAAGTCAGCATTACTAAATCAATAACCGAATGCCATACAAAGCAACTAGGTTGACCGGAGAGAAACTTTGGCATTTAAGGTGCGTCCTGAAAAATATTTCTGTCAAGGGAATTCTGATCAGTGCTACAATGTAAATGTAGATTTTCTTGATAGATAGATAGATAGATAGATAGATAGTTTATTTGTAAAAAGCTTGCAGCTACTAAGCTGAATTGTGTATTTACAATATAATATATAATATAATATAACAGAATCTTACAATAGTGAGTACAGTAAAATGATAATGATAAAGTCATAAATAAATAATAACATCCTATAAATATAAAAACTCACCGAGCACTAAAATTCGTTATCAATACATGATCTTACTAAAAAACTATTTTTGTAACGCTCGGTCTTACATTTGGGAATCGCAAAACGCCTTTTGCACCAAAGATTATAACACGACGGCCCTGACGATTGAAGCATGTTATGTAAGCGATGAGCCGGGTCATTAGCAATCAAGAGAAGGTCTTTTTACATAAGCTAGCGATGTAGTCATTGATAGACATAATATTTGAAAGCTCTAAGGCCTTTGTATAGGCCAGTCCTGGGCAAATGATTGATAGTGCCCGTTTCTCTACATTCTCTTGATTTTTCTTTGAATACAATGGCAGGGCGTAGAAAAACGCAGGTGATGCGTAGGTCATGACTGACCTTATACAAGATGTATAAAAAAGAATTAATTCATGCCTTGTAACATTGGCCCTTTTCAATTGTATTAGGAACTACATACGTTTAGAAGCTCTCTTTATGATTTGATCAATGTGCATATTCCATGTAAGATTGTTGGAGATCGTAACACCTAGTAATTTGGCACTTTCAACACATTCTAGCTCTTGATTCTTTTCAAATTACCTTTGTTTTATTTGCTTAAAAAAATAATATTGAGATGAAAAGTCACTTAGGACCTTAAAAATCTTTTTATGAATAACTACATTATAGAAAAATTAAATTCAGTTTTTTAAACCACCTTCACTCCATTTCCTTTGCCTCCTATTAAGCTCAGTTCATGAATAATATTACATGTATAGTGTAATGAGACAAAGGAAATGAATCTACCCTGGTTGAAGAATTAAATTCTTTAACCAGGGTAGATGTTATTAACCTGAATATTCTTTTAACCTACAAAATGCTTGTCATATAACCCATATAGTTCATACAGTGTACCTGTTCTATCATCTCTTGAAATGCAGTTAAGTAACCAAACACTCCTGTGTAAGATGAACCACCTATCTCTATCAAATATGCTGAGGATCCCTACTGCTTTCTGACAAAATAAATAAGATTAACAATTAATATGGTACTGCAACTGCTATATGGTTTGGCCTTTTAAGGAGATTTTGAATTGGCCAGGGGAATCAGTTACATGTAATTATAGGTATATTCACTGGCTCCAGCATACTTAGCAAAAAAGGAAATTAGAAATCAAATTTCTCTTGGGGTGGTGGGACAAAAAAGCCTTAAGTTTACAATTTGTGGGTGGCCAATTATAAGATTGTAGGGTTTTCTGATCTTTTGCCAGAAATGCCTTAATTATCTCACCATGCAATGTTTATCACTACCAGAATGTTCCAGCTAAAAAATGGTTTTTGTAGTCTTTTTAAGTCATTAAAGCCACTTACAATTTTTCTGCCATTTTCTCCATCATCTCTTTAAGGCCTGATTTATATTGAAGTTTTGCAACAACAACATGGCTTCCAACCACTTTTTTTAGAAAAAGATTTCCTTTACATCCAATATCTGTAGACTGCATCAACATGAACAGGAATCAACAAAATGTTCTACAGTTTACTAGCTCCGAAGAGGGCGCTAATAGTTTAAAATTTAACAGAAATTGAAATTCACTTAACTCTCTCAGATAAACATAGTGGGAATCAGGACCAACTTTCCGGACTTTAAAGAAAGGTGTCCGTCACATTTAGGGAGCTTAATTGCAGAAAATGACTGAAAACAGCGAGGGAAGCGAGCCACAGTGGGTGTCCTTCTTATATAGGTTTCGAGAAGTGTGCTGCAGTTGACAGTGCTAGAATACTTGTTCCTGGCGAAACACGTAACAAAAAATGAATTCAACCCACTTAAGGCACAATATTTGGTGCAGTAGATTGCTGTTGTGTATTGTGGTAGTTCTGAGGTGGCTGCCATGTAGAGGAATGGGAAATTATATACCTTTTAAATGTGGCTAAATGAAATTAGGCTAAGTTAAACACGAAACAATGGTGACCAGCAGTTTTCCCAAATGGATCAGTATGTGGAGTGGCCAGGGGTTGCGTGCAGGGGTTCACGTATTGTCATTCCGTGTTTGTTTTTCGCTGCTGGGCAGCTTTCATTGAGTTTACTCCTTCCCTGCCCATTCCTCTTGCCATGGTAAGTCTTTTAGCCTCTAGTGATTTTCAGTGTGACAGTGCCTGGTGGTTCCCACTCACAGGTTATCGTGGATCATGAGGGGACACAAATTGCTGTTACTGGAAGTAAAATCCCACGCAGAGATGTTTTCTTCGCGGGCAGCTAATCCGACTTAATTCCATTACTCGAAAGTGCGAAAATTTTTTTGTGGTGTATTAGGTTTCAGTATACTTTCTTTTAATCTTAATTTCGCACCAGAATAAATAATATTAGTTTGCGCGCAAAAGGCTTCTAAAAAAATCACAAGGTTTGTCCCACTTCGAGTCCACCTTCTGAAGATATGCCGGCTTGCTAGCTGGAATATATTGCCGAGGCGAAGATCTGACATCCTTTCCTCCTCGTTGTTTTTTCGCCACGACATTTGTTTATATTTGTAGTGAGAATGCAGTGCATATCGGTGGATTTTACTTCGTGCGGCTTGCTATTTATAAGAGAAGAGTGCCGAATTTCATCACTTTGTTTGCCTTTAATTTGTTAACGAATGCAAGGTAAAAGGACCAACAACTGCAAGTTAAGAATTGAAGTTTGTTTCCTGGTGAAAAATACTGCATAGAACTCATGAAACTCGTGAGTATTACCTGTGTTATACCTAATGTTATGCAATAACTCCTCACTTTTTCGACGGGTCACACGGATACAAACAAAAGTTTCTTTCGCAAAATTAAGTATAATTTAGTTATCGAGACCATTTGAGGACGATTTTTCGTTATATGCTTCGTTACTTGGCTTATTCCGTCTATGTGCGAGGAGTTGGATGACAATGTTTGTGTGCTTATTATTATGTTGATAATTTCTTGCAAGCTTTGCATCTTTGTATTGAAACTCATGAAAGCCAAACTTTTTTAACCCTAGAAAAAAACTCTTCTATTATGGAGAAATTTTTAACGCCTTTTGGGGCAAAATATGGTGTAACATTTAGGGAAAACAAAGCTTGATTTTTGTAAACCGTATAGAACTCTCCAGGATACTTACAGTTAAGGCAATTTGTGTCCCCTCATGCACTGCACAATCGACTCTGCCTGTCCCGTGGCTCCACCTTCTTCAGGGACCATTCCCCATGCTTATCTATTGTTGATGGTTCAATAAAATAATTAATGTCTGATTCGATGGCAAAACAAGGGTGGTGGAATAGAAATTGGGAGAGTGAGAGCACACACCTTCCAACAAGGTGAATGTACCCCAGGTTTGAATACTGTGGAAATAAATCCACACATTGTATTGAATTTGTTATTGGTTCTTAACCCTTGCTCCAGGAATGTTTTTCTGGTTCCCATAGCAATATATATGTGAGCTAATGTGGATAGGTTCAAACAGCAAGAGCATCAAGTAAAGGGGACCGATTTAAAAAGGTGTTCATTTTGTACATTGCAAGAAAATATACAGTGTAGCTGACCTGTTCAGAGCTTCTAAGAAAAAAATAACAATCCAAGCCAAGCTGTTTTGCTGCTATTGCAGTGGCTCTACAATGATTTGACTGCACTCCACCACATGTAAAAATGGTGTCACACTCATTGTTCAGTGCATCAGCCAGAAGAAACTCCAACTTCCATACCTATTACATGGCACAAAATAAAACAATGATGGCAAAACTGGCATGTACATGTTGTAGGTCAAAATGAAATTCAGGTTAAAAAAGGTTTTATAACCTTGGGTTTAAAAGTGACACAGCAGTCTTGACTTTTACTTTTCGCTTTCTCTCCTCCCTTCTTTTTTCGCTTTTCTTGCCTCATTGTTTTTTTGTCTTGCTGGGCATTTAGTAGGCTTCATTTTGGTGGGAAGAGTTTAAATTAGGAAAGCTTTTAGGATCTTCGGATTAGGTGAAAGGAAAGGTAGGTGAGCAATGGAACAAGATTTTCATGGAGATTTTCAGGTCAATGTCACGTGGTTTTTTGCTTCTTTCTCCGGTGTCCTTGACTGAATTGTGCTCATTCTGGTATGGTTTGAAAGATCTCTTCACTCTGCACAAGTTAGCGAAGAAAGTTGTCCTTGACCGTTAAAACTGAAGCACAAAGGGTAGAAAGGACCTGGATCCGCACGGGCGGTTCAGGGGCGAATGGGTTAAGGGTTGAGTTTCAACATAGAATTAACTGAGTGCTTTTTATTCATGTATGCAATATATGCCTTTACCTTATTTCCCGGCAATGCGCTGCTAGCTAAGCCATCCCTTAAAAATCCCTACTGAAGGATTTGGGATATTCCATGGATGGATTGGAGTGTTTCACTGTGCAAGCTATAGAACAGAGAATAATTCCTGTGCTTAAAAAATGGTTTCAGTCACAAATAAGACAAAATAAAAAACAACAATAATTGCCAACTTTCTCAAGACAGAGGTCTTACACGCAATGGAGATGAATAGGGAAGTTAGGTAATTAGTTTCTTAAGACAGGCTTTGTTGGGACAGCACCCATACATCTTCAAGAGCAAATGACTTGGGAGAAGAGATTGTATGATGCATTCTTGTTGTCTCTGCAGGATCCAAAACTGACTTTTTGGTTGCCAGTTTTTACTAAAGTCTCTTATGGTAGTTGTAACAGAAGAGGGCTACTATACTGATGGAGCACCTTTTTTACGGTTCAACAATGAAAGGATGCAACTTGTTTATGAGTTCACTTTGCTCAATAAGATGTAAAGAAATCACCTCCTTGCCAAAAATATGCAATGAAATCATACATCATTCAATGTTACCCTTAATTATCTCATGCACGAGATCATGGAATTTTGCGTGGAATCTTCCTTGGTGCTCCACAACTGAGGGCAAAAATATTGTCAAACTCTTGGCAATAAGCCAAACCATTCACACCATGAGCTGCAAGGATGATATGTTTCCAAAGAGAAAATTTTAAGTATTTGATAGTCTGTTTCTCTCAATGTACCTTGTTTTTTCCAAAAAGGTTTGTTTTCTATTGCCGATTTGTTTGCCGTGCGTTATCTGTGGGTCATTGTGGGTCGTATGTAACGAAGATAAATGTTGTGTTGTGATGCAGCATGCGGCAGACACTCGCGTTGCTTGGCTTGTTCACTTGGAGTGTTTAAATTCGCACATATTGCGTGCCTATTGCAACTTGAATCAAAACAAGCAAACTTGATTACTCTATTTGGGCGACGCCCAAATAAAAAGAGTAAAGAAAATTTTACTTCCATTGGGAAGTCCCTTGACAGGAGGCTTCATCTGAAGTCTCGGAACCAATTGTTGCCCCCCCCACCCAACGTGGGGACAACAGACCAGTACCGGTTACAAACTGCTTTATACAAATCATCAGGGGTTCCCTGGGGGCAAGCCTCTGGGATGCCCACTGGTAAGTACATTAGGCTGAGGAATTGAGTGAATCGAGTTTGCCCAGGAAATTCGGTGGGGGACTACATAAAAATATTCAGTACTTAAAAGAACAATGCATTTTTAAATAAGTTAAGGCCATCCCACTTTTTTTTTTTCATTTAGCATCAAATGCATTTCCTGATGTCGGGTCGGTCAGTCAGTTTGAAAAAAAAAAACCTAAAAAAAATCACAAGAAGTCTCGGAATAGGAGGCCCTGGTACCACAGGACGACGTTAAAAGTTAACATCCACATATTTGGATTAACTGGTAATAAGCTTAACTGTACAGGGAGAAGGAAAACATCGGCACTAACTTCGTGTACCGGACATAGATGACATATTTAAAACGAAAGAACAAAAACCATGAAATAATACCAAGGACATTTTTCCCTCAACAAAAAACAAAGAAGACCAAAGAGGTCTTTCGTTTTACGTCATCTGTGTCCAGTACACGAAGTTTTGACCAGAACATCATAAGGGCTAAGTTAGATCTAAATTCTATTTTGCGAGTGGTGGACAAGGTAAAAATAGGGGATGTCAAAGCAAAACTTTAGCAAGTTATATCAAAACTACATACTTGAACAAAGAACTGTGGAATATCTTTCAGTGAAGAAGCCCGAGCGCAACTGTGTCAGCATGTTTGAGCCACGAGAAATATTTCTGTTCATTTTCAAATAAAATATCTTGCGTCATTTCTGAGTCCATACCAGTTCCATATTTTGAAGACGAGGTAAAACGATGTTTTTGACGAAGGAAAACGATATTTTTGCTTTTCAAAACATTGAGATCACAATGCGCGAAACGGGACGGAAAGAAATTTTACCGATTCTGTCAGCGGTTTTCCAACTACATTATATAAGAAGCATCAAACCGAACAACACACGACTGTCGACTACGGACTGCGGACTGTGGACAACGGATTCAGGTCCACACCTCCGTGAAAAAACTCTTCTGCCCATATAGTAATTTTTTAAAGTTTTTTAAAGTTTGCAATCGCTAAAAGGGGAATTTCTAATTGTAGCTCTCTGCCCTTGACGCCAC